AATATTATTCAGAAATGACAAATGGTTAAGATGATATGACGTCATCAACGTTTTGAGAGTTTTTAATTCAGATGGCAATATGATGACGTCACAATGTCCGATCAGCTATTATGATATATAAAATCATATCTAAACCTCATGTGCTTTCAGAATATGTAATAAAAGTTAGGGGTCACCTTTCATCCTAAGGAGCTATAACTGATTTAAAAAAGACATGATATAAAGCATATATTAATTTTGACGCTCGCGTTATTACGTGCGCACAAACATTTAATGTACATAACATTTAACCATGACCTGAAGTTTATACCCACTAAATATGATTCAGAAATCATGACTAATTAAGGTGATTATGGGATCATCAAAGGCTGGATGAAAGAAAGATGAGGGTGGTAAGCAAAACCCTATATTTTGACCATAATGACGTCATCAAAATGTAAAAAATTCCACATATATGAAAGAGAATTGCCTCAGCTACAACATACTCTAAGTTGGAAGACAATGGATCAAGAATAAGCGAGATACGCTCAAATGCGCATTTGCTAAAATGAGGTCATCGATAATATTCAGTTTGTTGAATTCAGATGGCAATATGATGACGTCATAATGTCCGATCAGCCATTATGACCTATAAAATCATATTTACAACTCATGTACTTTCAGAATATGTAATAAAAATTGGGGGTCACCTTTCATCCTAAAGAGCTGTAACTGTTTAAAATTAGGCCCGATTTTAGCAAAATTTCACTGTATATCGGCACAAATGCCCACAAAGGTCACTATGTTTGATGCGTGCGTACGGCATTGTTATTGGCCATAGAGTGATTGAAAAGATTGGAAACTTGTCAAAACAATGTCAAGAACCTAAAATGTGACAAAATTAATTAATTTCTAACTTCCATACGTGCTGCGCGCGTAAAAATGCGCATGCGTAGTAGTAAATTTCAAAAAATTTTGAAATGCTCAAAATGGCCTGAAACGTGCTCTAATTTAATCTAAATGTGATTTCGAGCTTTTTAAAAGTTTGACGCACGCGTTATGACGCGCACGCGTAAAATTAGGGTAAATTACATTTAACATTGACTTGAAGTTAATGCTCACTTAATACGATTTCGAAATGGCAATTGATTAGGCTGATATGATCAATAATGTAAAAACGCAAAATTGCGCGTAGATGACGTCACACATAACTGCGCACTTTGAAAACCTTATTGTGACTATTCCAGGCCAAGCTAAATGTTTGTTGAAGCGTGCATGTATGAATCTCGAGCCAATTTTTAGATATCGTGCTAACAAGAAATGGGGAGAACCTAGAATGAAAAAAAAAGATTTCGGACAATAACAAGAGGTAGCGGAGCGGAGCGGATCACCAATAATGTTAAACTAAAAATTACTTTATTTAGTTAGCTTTAAAGAGACTGACCTTGATGAATGTTAAATTACAAAAAAGTGGGTTTTTTTTATTCAATAGCATTTATAATATAAATATAGTTTAGGCCCTATAAAAAATATTATTAGTTTATCACCCTATCTGGGCAGGAAAAGTGATGAGGGAGGGAGGCTTTTTTTAAAATTTTTTATTTTGCTAAAGCCAAGTATATTCCCTTGGTTTGTTTGCTGGTGCATTGATATTCAAAGTAAAACATGATTTAGATAATGTAAACAATATCTACTAACTATTTAATAAAATAAATGAAAAAAATAAGAAAAAATTAAATAAAAAAATAAATAAATAAAAAAATAAAAAAATTTTTTTTCCAAAAAAATTTTTTTCAATTTTTTTTTTTTTTTCTAGTACCATAGAAGGCATGCGCGCGAGGATGATAAACTAATAAATTTTTTTATTGGGCCTTATTTATATATTTTTATTTTATGTGTAAAAAATAGTTAATAAAATAACAAGGTCTCGTAATCTTGAAAGCTCTGATGAGGGCAGTATAATAGAGGCAGTAAAGTATATTGGCCCTAATGGCTGCCCATAGAAAAAATATCTATTAAGCAATCAGCACAAAAAAGATATTAAAGTAATCAGCACAAAAAAGATCTATTAATCAATCAGTTGGGTATTCCTAGAGCTTCTCATTCGAGCTAAAAAATTTGAGAAATGAAATTAAAGTGGGTGAAACTCCTACAAAAGAGAAAAAAAAGATTTCTTTGATTCAGATAAAATGATGAGTGTAGTGTTTAAAAGCATGGTAGCTGGTCACTATCTAGCTTATAATATCAATTATACTAGAAATTGCAAATTGAAAGTGAAGTGCTGCAAAGTATAACTGCATATAAATGTTCTTCGAACAAAATTATTTATGCGATTCAAGTGAAAATAATGAATAATAAAAATATAACAAATAATATGAGACATGACCCATTGCTATATTAGAACACTTCTCATTGGGTAACAAAGTCGTTCAAGAATATGAATTGGCTGCTTCGCAGCAATTATAGCACCAATTTCACAAAATATAGCAATAACTGAGTTTAGCATTAAATAGCGATTAAAAGCATGTTAGTAGCTGCCACAATGCTTTAACTGCATTTTTTTACTATACAATGTTTGCGATGATAGGCGTTAGGGTTAAGCATGCCAGCAGTTTACCATTTACCATTGAAGGCTTTTGCACATATAGTGTTAGGCACGTCAGCAGATTACCGTTGAATAGACCTTTGCAACAATATGCATTAGGGTTAAACATGTCAGGCGTTGGCGCCGATAGGCGTTAGCGTTAAGCACTTTAGCAGATTACCATTTAAAAGGCGTTTGCAACGATAGGCATTAGGGTTAAGCACGTCACCAGTTTACCATTGAATAGGCGTTTGCGATGATAGCGTTAGGGTTAAGCACGTCAGGGGTTTGCAACAACAGGCGTTATGGTTAAGCACGTCACCTGGTTACCATCGAATAGGCATTTGCGACGATGTGCTTTAGGGTTAAGCACGTCAGGCATTTGCGGCGACAGCCGTTATGGTTAAGCACGCCAGCTGTTTACCATTGAATAGGCGTTTGCGACAATAGGCGTTAGGGATAAGCACGTCAGTTGTTTGTGCCGATAGATTATAGGGTTATTTTGTGGATTAAGGTTGGAGAACGTCAGTAGTTTACCATTGAATAGACGTTTGCAACGATAACAAATAAAAATAGGAAAAATAACATATTCAATTACAAATGACCGGTGAAAATGCCTATTCATTAGCGTACACAGTTCCTACTGACGACTTCTGAAATTCTTATTAGCCCTAATTCCTATTCATTAATGCAATGCCTGGCAAACGCCTGATGACGTGCTTAAACCTAACGCCTATCGTCGCAAACGCCTATTTAATGACATTCTTTTAATCACTATTTAATGCTTAGATTTTGTAAAATGGGTGCTATATGACTGCTATTATAAGCTATAGCTATTGTATAACAGCTACGAACATGCTTTTAATCCTTATTTAATAATTAACCCTGTGATTGCTAACACATTTTGAAATGGGTGCTATATGACTGCCATAGGTATAGCTGGTGACCAGCTACTATGCTTTTAATCACTATTTAATGCCCTTTAATATTTAACCCAGCTATAACGGACAATATCACAATGATATAAACAGCAAATATAGAACATATAATACAGTTGATGTGCTACAGCAAAGATATTGATATATTTTGTGAAATGGCTATATGACTGCTATTATAAGCTATTACAAGCTGTAGCTAAAATGACTAGCTAGGCCTACTACGATGCTTATAAATGCTACCGTATTTAATGCTAGGACCAATCATGCGCTTTAATGGCCCGTTCTACATCGAGATAATGCTATACCGCAACCTGGGTACCCATAAATATCTGGCAGTCGCTAGTTAACGGATCTAAAATTTTAATTCACTGGTGGCACTAACGGGCTTCTGTACTTAGCTCTCTTGTTGGCGAGTCTTAACCTTTTGTATAGCGGAACAAAATAATAATGTATATATTTCTATTGTACAGTATGAATATTGGTTCTGGTTACATTCAGCTCAGTAGCCTGGTACTCAACCAGGTATTCAAAACACACCGTCGTGGAGAAAAGAGGATATGTAGCTACAAGTTCTTTGACTTATGACAAACATTACCAGCCTCAGAATTTAAACCCCAACATCTTGCAATAAACCAATTGCTATGCCATGGTGAGCAAGTGTGTAAGCCACTGTCATATCTAGGGGTGCACAGGGTGTGGGCTTGGCCGCCCTTCTCCTACATTTAAGATGTCCATGGCAAAAGAAAAGTTGTGCTTAAGTAGTAAAAATCTCATTTCACTTTATTTTGTGACCTAGTGTCCCCTCACTTAATCATCAAAATCCCCACTCCATCTTCACTCCTGCCATCAGCCCTAAATTTCATGACTCCTAGATACAGCACTGGAGTAAACCCCACGATCAATTATTTGCATGAGATTTTTTAGGCTTGTTGTTGGAATTTGCTATAGAATAGACGATGTATGCATGAATGATGTTACATAGAGTAACTGCAGTAAGTCAGTTATTTTATTTGTGATTATGTCTGCGTAATAATGTATTTGGTAGTGTTGCACCACACATACCGTAACATCATTTCTGCCGTTTTGTGAAAGTACAGGTGTTAATGGTAGGCCAGCCGATACCCTTTTTCTTCTTTAAAATTTAGCCGAAAACAAGTATTTTAACAACACTGAATTATTCATCATTCAAGGTAATTTCATGATATTTTTTTTTCATTTTCAATATTTAAAAAGTGTATAATACTGTAGGTCTCCAATGATAAAGAATAATATACTATGTCTAGAAAATATAGTACAGTAGGAGATAGAAATTGCTGTATAACACAGGCAGACAAACCTTTTTGGTAAATATTGCCAAGAAAGGCCCATATCCACCACAAACCAGAAAAGATCAACATTTTTATACCATCCAAGAGCATACTGAATATAAAATTGATTTTCTGCATAAAAGAGTAAAAAGGAAATATATGTTTATATTACATTTTAACTAGTAAGTTCTCATTTTCATCCACATTTGTTGATGAAGTTAGAAGTTAAACTGTTCAATAATAATTTTATTTATTTCATACATTTATTCATGTGCTTATTTCTTATCCTGTTTCTTTTTTTCAGAATGAAGGTGCTTGTAATTTGTTTGCTGAGTGTGTTTTCTGTGGTTCCGGCTGGGGATAGCTTTTTTGGGAACAGAAAATACTTCTGTCGAAATGCTGCCTCTGTTCGTCTTTCATGTAATGTTGAAAATCCTGACAAATTTGTGTACTGGGTTAAAGAACTCGACACTGGTTCCAAAATAGTTGCATTTAAGACACTTTCCTCGGGTAAACTTGATGCACTTGTACCAAGATATAAGATGACAAAGGCCCTCTCTTTGACCATTTATGATCCGGTTGAAGGTGAAGAGTTTAGGTGTTACATGGATGATGATGTTTCAGGTGGTACCACTCTAACCCTGGTTAAATACAAAAAACCAGATCTGATGGGAATTGATGGATGTGATACTTACCCATGCATGATTGCTATTGACATTGCATCAACTGAAGGCTTGACATGTGGGTCTAGTGGACACATTCCAAATGACGGTGTTCGAGTCACATGGCACCAATTGTCCAGCAAAGATCTTAGGGAACTGCATCAGAGAAAAAGAGTATATGATGTCCAAAAATCAGTAAAAGTAGAAACAATCACTACTGTATACTGCATCATTGAAGGTAAAGCATTGTGTGGCAAGCCAAAAAAATTTAATGTTTTAGTCTATGAGGAACACAATTCCTGGAAAAGTTTTTTCATTCCTTATGTGATTTATATGATATTCTCTTTATTTATATGTATAGTATTAGGATGGAAGAGGAGGTTGAGAATTGATGATATACTTAGTAATTATTTTTGTTTTTTTCTGGGTTTAGTGTTTTTGTATATGTATATAAATATATAAATAATATTCAAATTAAGTTGCTGCTTAGCACTAGGAACACAAATAATGTATAAATGAAAAAAGAGGTCTCTGGTGGGAACCTAGTCCGCAATCTCTCACTATGACAGCTAGCATCTATACAGTATGACGCTCTTTGAGATAGTGAAAGATTGCAGGTTTGATTCCCACCAGTTTCCAGCCATACCTATTGTTTAATAGAGTGTATCTGACGTTATTTCTATATTAATAGGATCCATAGGCTGTTGTATATATGGTTCAAGGTGGTGATCCCGTTCTTAGAGGTGATCCTGATCCTAGTGGTGATCCCGTTCTTAGTGGTGATCACGGTCCTAGTGGTGATCCCATTCTTAGAGGTGATCAAGATCCTAGTGGTGATCCTGTTTAGAGGTGGTCACAATTCTAGTGGAGATTTCATTCTTAGAGGTGATACCATTCTTAGAGGTGATACCGTTCTTAGAGGTGATTATGATCCTAGTTGTGATCCCATTCTTAGAGATGATCATGATCCTAATGATGATCTGGTTTCTGGAAGTGATCGAGATTTCATCTGAACTCTGGGGGGGATAAAGCATCCAGCATGGACTCAACAAATTAATCAGTCATGGAGGAATAAGTTGAAAATCTACATACTGTATAGTCCTATATGTCATACAATGCATTTATAAATATATACTGAATATAAATCAGGATGAACTTATTGGGTTGCATAATGTTTATATCTTTATGACTACGTAAAGTATTTCATATTGTCAGCAGAACTGACCACACTCATCAGTTGGATGGAAACATTAATGAAAATTCTATAATGACTAAATATATTAATGACTTCCTGATTGCTTCAAATTTTTAGAGATATAATATGTAATATGCAATATGTATGTAAATGTAATGAATACTCACATATGTACAATTTTGAATTTAGAATCACTACAATTTATTCCTACAAATTTTTTGACTACTCTTGTAGTCACTGCCAACGCTTGGCTTAAAATTATTAAATAATTACATATGTAATTTATAATTGGTTTTTTAATATCTTTTAATATATAAGTCATTATAATGTGGCAAAGACAAGCCAAACTGGTCACTCCTAGCAAAAAATTCGATTTTTTTGTTATTAATACAGGGTTAAGCAGTAAGATAAAAGTTATAAAATTTATATCCAACATTTAGTTATTAAGAGTCAGTAAGAGTTTAAACATACAACTGCTTATAGAACAGTATTTTTTCTTCACAGTTTTTGATTTCAGACATTTCGTAAAGTAGAGACCAACACCAAATCATAAAAAATGTTGTTTTAAAACACTGAAAATGGGGAAAATACAAACATAGAATGATGTATAGGTATGTAAGGTTAGTTTAGTGTAATAAATAGATTTTGAAAATGTTGACATTCCAACATGTTTTGGCCATTTTCTCAGAAACACAATTTGCAAGGAGTAACTGGTTTGGCTTGTCTTTCCCACATTTATTATATAGTATAATTGTAGTCAGATTTTTCTTCAAATTATTCTGTACAGTACTGGGAAAATACCGGCAAACAGTATGCTTTACTTTTATCATATTTTATCCTGAGGCCAACAACCTACTTACAAGCTGTGAAAGATCATATTTCATGGGATGATTATTATGATGATCCAGTGACATCTAATATAAAAATATCAGATCCTCCTCACTTATTTGTCATCATATTTCCCGACATCACCCCCTACTGTATCATTTTCACAATTCCATTTGATATTTGCGCTCTGCTCACAAATATTTAGATTCAAATGTCTTGTTAGATTTATTGTTGTTGGTCTATTTAGATTTAGTTAAGAAACTAGCTGCATAGACCTACTGTCTGTATTGAGCTAAAAAAAAAAACTTAAAAAAAAAAAAAAAATTAATATTTAAATTGTTTACTTTGTATACTTAAGTATATCCATAGACCTTTTTACAATGATTTTAAACTTTATCATTAAAAAGAACTATTAATACAATTTTCTTTATGATTTATTTTTTATAATCATTTATTTGTTTATTTATTTATTTAATCTTTCTTTATATTGTAGGGACTTTCAGTAGCGGTACTGATTTTCAAAGTGGTACAGTGATGTGAAAGATAAATACAATACAGTGAAATAAATAAAGAATTCAAAATAAATAAACAAAAGAAAAAAGTCATTGATGTAAAAAATTATTTTAAATAATATTTTTAATGTAAAATTTGACATCTCTTCATTCAGCTACTTGTTATTGTTACTTGTATAGCGCCTTTCTTTTTAGTTACAAAGCGCTGTAAGTGACTCACCACAATAAGTCAAAAATATCCCCCCCCCCACCCTGANNGCATAGAACCAAACCCAAGCAAAGTGAGCTAACTTTACTAATGCAATAAAGCAGTAGAAAAATAAGAAAACAAACAAAACAATAAACAAATACAATCAAGCAAGGTGAGAGAACTATTGAAAAAGGCTATGTGTGCCTTTAGAATGTGAAGTATTGTTAAAGGTACATTTTAAAAGCCAAATAATAACCAGCATATTCTTTATAGCATTCGAAGGTCATGAGAAGTAATTTTTCATTCCAAATCACATTTAGTCTACTCTCATATGGTTGTGCAGTATGATATTAGGCCCACCCTGGTCATTTGCTCATCGGCTTACAGGTACTCATATTTAATTACAGTAGTGGAGCGAAGACATTTGCTATAGAATGTAGAATAATGTAGGCTATGCATGAATGATGTTGTATAAATGTAGCTGCAATAATCAATAATTTGTTATTCATAACAGTAATGAACCGCCATAACAGTTACGGTCGCTGCTGTTAATTTTGTGAATGTACAGGTGTTAATGGTAGGCCTGCCAATAACCTTTTTCTTCTATAAAATTAACCTGAAAACAAGTATTTTAACAACACTGAATTATTCATCATTCAAGGTAATTTCATTATATCATTTCAGTATTTAAAAACAATGTATAATGATACAGTATATAATAATATACTATGTCTATCTCCAGTAAGTATGAGATAGAAATGGAATAGAAATTGCTGTAGGTCTACAACATAGGGAGATATACCTTCCTTGTAAATGTTTCCGAAAGTCCACCTTCCCAGGGGTCCCAAGTTGGAAGAAGTTGTGTCTGGGAGATCTACAGAGGCCGATCCAGGATTTGGGGGTGGGGTGGGGGTGCAAAACTTTTACAGATTTAGGACAGGCTAACCACCTCAGCCCCAGTATGGTTGGGGCTAATAGAAAGAACATTTATGATTGTGGCACCATTCCCATTTTTTTAATAATTTGGAAACATGTAGGGGCCGGGGCCGACTGCCCCTTCCCTTTGAATCTTCCACTGATATGCAGTGATTAATGACTTTTGTAACACATTTTATTTTATTACTGTACATATTGATGCCCATCCGCACTGCTTCCATGAGACAATTGATAATAAAATATTGAAGCATGCAAATACTGTATTATGAAATTTGCGGCAGACTCCCGCAAGTTCTGGAAGATGTGGGAACACTGCATTCCAAACCGGAGAATGTCCACGTTTTTAAGACAGTCAAGACTTTTATTTTATTTTCTGCATGAAAGATTAAAATGGAAATTTTTTTTTACATTTTAACTTGTTGTTTATCATTTTCATCCATATTTGTTTGAGAAGTTAGATGTTAAACTGCTTAATAATTATTTGATTTATTTCATATATTTATTGACGTGCCTATTTTTTATCCTGTTTTTTGTTTTCAGAATGAAGGTTTATGTAATTTGTTTGCTGAGTGTGTTTTCTGTGGTTCTGGCTGAGAATAACTTAGCTGAGAAAAGTACATACTACTGTCAAAACGATACGTCTGTCAATCTTCCTTGTATTGACGTTGAAATTACTTCAGAATCGAAAAATGTGTACTGGGCTATTAAAAATGACACTGGTTTTAATGTTGTTGCATCAAAGGTACTGTTGACGGGCGAAATTGATGCACCTGACCCAAAATATAAAATGACAATAAAGAACCTCTCTTTGACTATATTTGATCCAGTTGAAGGTGAAGTGTTTACATGTTACGTAGATGGCAAAGTTTCAGGTGGTACCACTCTAGAACTGGTTACATACAAAGAACCACATCACATGGGGGTTTATGGATGTGATACTTACCCATGTAAGATTGCTTTTGATATTGCATCTACTGTAGGCTTGACATGTGGGTCTAGTGGACACCTTCCAAATGAGAGTGTTCAAGTCACATGGCCCCAGTTGACCAGCAAAGAACTTAGGGAACTGCATCAAAGTAAAAGAGTATATGAAGTCCAAACAACAGTCAAAGTAGAGACACTCACTCCTGTATTGTGCATCATTGATGGTGAATCATTTTGTGGCAAGTTAAACACATTTGCTGTTACAATCTACAAAGTAGACCATAGTTTCTGGGAAAATTGTGTCTTTACTTTTGTGACAGCCTTTTTAATAACATGTGCAATAATATTTGGATGCAAGGAAACGAGAATAGTTAAGATGTTTGGAATTACTGATATAAATCATTATTTTATAATTTTTTTGCTGTGTTTGGGGTTTATGTATTTTTCCTCTTGTACTGTAATAGGGTATATTAGATCTTATTTATAGGCCAAGATACAGTTGACGTACAGTAATTCAAACTATTAAAAGTATATTAGGCCTATTAATGATAACATTTTTTTATTATTATCTAAATTATAAATACAACTAGAAGCTTGACTATAATTGCTTTATCATTTGTTACATCCATCACCTTTTCTATGTAGCCCTCTAATGAAACTGCTGGTTGTAAGCGGTTGCTAAATATTTATAAATCAAAATACTTGTTGGTGGTGGCCGGTTGCTTAGGTGCACGTATTAAAATGATTTGTTAGTAGTACGCGCACTGACACCCATTACACAGCTCTTTGCAGCTAGCTCTTCGCAATACACAGATGAATAAATAAAGAGTGTGGTTAATTAAATTTATTAGGGGTTATTAGGTAGCTCTAACCTCCTGGTTGGCATTTCTTTAATAGATTTAAATGTATTGTAAACAATATCATGCATTATTTCAGTTGTTGTTAACAACTTATTTGTTTGTTACTTTGATTTCTCTGTATTTGATTGGTTAACTAATTAGCAGATTTATTAGGTTGTGTTATTATTAAATGTATTATACAATACTTAATACAACAAACTGATTTATTGGGTTGTATTTATCCAAGTGTCATATAGTACTGTACATTAGATTAAATAAATACAGCCTGATCATTTTTAGATTGTATTTACTTAAATAAATACAACCTAACAGTTAACCAGGTTAATACAACCTAACCTGGTTGTATTTATTTAACTAAATTTACTGTTATATTTAAAGAAATACAACAGAAATGATTATGCTCTATGGTAAATTTAGTAAAATAAAATACAACCTGATAAATTGTAGGACAAAAACCACCCAGGAAAATAACCACCTGGACAAAAACCACTCAAAATGGACTATACCATTATAAAAGTGGGTGGACCATTTATAATTGAAAGTAATTTTTAAAAGAAGTAGGGACAAGCACTTTTAGAAATTAAAACTGTATTCAATTAACAAATTTGTTTTAATGAAAATATGTACTATAAATGTTAAGTAATTGCTTATTAACCTACATGCATGTTGTCAAAAGAGTTGAATGAACTAAAGGCATATAAGTCACAATGTAAACTACAGTATCCTATTGTAAAGCTAGATACACTTGTAAAAGTCCCTTGTGTCCTTGGGCAAGGCACTTTATCTATGGTTGTCTCTCTCAACCCAGAAGTTCAAGTGGGTACGGTACCTGGTCTGAGTTGTGTTCCATATGTGCTTGATCCTGGGACCAGGGGTAATAATGTAAACGCATAGAGGTCTCCACAATATGCGCTATATAAGTCAACAATTATTATATATTAAAAAAATCCCACCCAACATTGTTCACCCCACAGCCCACCCCGCTTTAACAATGGTGTAGTCCATTTTGGGTGGTTTATGTCCAGGTGGTTATTGTCCTGGGTGGTTTTTGTCTGATTTCCAATAAATTTGGATTTATTGGAAATATAGTCATGATGTGCCTATAGTCAACTTTCCATCATGATTGCTTTTGAAAAAAATGTTAAAAATTCAAAAAAAAAAAAAGAGTTTTTAAAATGAATTAAAAAATTGATGCCGGTGACTGTCGGGTACATGTTGTGAAGTGAATCTGCCTCAGCGAGATATCCTGATTGAAAGAGTTAGTAAGCTAAGTAGAAGATAAGTTTCGATTTAAATTCTATGTACCAGTATCAATGGCCACACATTTCTAAACAACAATCTCAAAACACCACCTACGCTCAGTCCGTTGCATGTTGCATGGCCTCTGTGCAAAATTTTTCTCTGGACCCACACCTGGATCGATGCTTTGATATACTTTGTATAAATTTACCAGAAATGAAAAATAGTATGCATGTATTTTTTTTTTCTTCAAATTTCAACATATCCTGTTGAACCAACTCACGAGGTCAACGACCTACTTACCAGCTAAGAAAGATCACTTTTCATTGTATGATTATTATGATGATACAGTGACATCTAATATAAAAATGTCATGATTCTCCTCACCTATTTGTCATCATATTTCCAGACATCGATCCCCTACTGTCATTTTCACAACTCCACTTGATATTTGCACTCTGCTGTCAAATATTTAGATTTGAATGTCTTGATAGAATTTATTGTTGTTGGTCTATTTAAATTTTGTTAAGAGTACAGACCTACTGTCTGTATTGAGCTAAAAAAAAAAAAACTTGAAAAAAAAAATCAATATTTAAATTTTTTACTTTGTCTACTAATTTATGTATATTTCCTGTTAAATAACGGATGCCCTTTTACAGTTGTTGCTTGTCAATTATAGTACATAATGTAGTGAATTACAATTTACTTTATTTTCTTTATTTTGCTGGCAATATATTAAATGATTTTTTAGAAATTAGTAAATCAGTGAAAACCGTTGTTGCTGTTGTTATTAGTATTATTATTGGCATAATAAAATCAAGTTTGATTAAAACTTTACATAGACAAATTAAAGCACATACAGTATTTAGGAAGTAAATACATTTTAAAACTAACAAGATGCTGACAAATACCTTTATACTGTGTTTGCAATTATAATGAGTATGTGTGCCTGGGCCTATATCGATGCAAAACTGTTTTTTAGTAATAAATACAAATGGAAATGATATGATTTGTCTACATTGTTTGATTTTGTGTATTGTTTATGTACTATATTATTTTGGTGAACGTATACATGTACATACCTGTAGTAAAATACCTCAGTGAACCTTTTCATCAAGAAATTCTCCCGCGACTTTAAACTCATTTTTTTCGGAAGAACAATTAACGACATGAATAATCAAAAACAACATCAGTAATGTATAGTTAACAGCAAATATATACAAAAACAGCAACAATAAAAAAAAAAAACATCACCAGAGACACTGTTTTAATACAATTGAAATATAGAAACTACAACATGTTCCCATTTGAGTACTGGTATTTTTATTTATATTTTACTATTTCTGTATTACGAAAAAAAAAATTATTTCAGGACATCAAATATTTATTTAGTGTTCAAAAATCAAAATAGTTATGTTAAAGTGTAGAAATGTTTTTGCAAAATTTTACATTTTCCAATGGGAATTCACCTAACCTGGATAAGCAGTGTTATTACAGTACTTTAAATCGCTGACCTGAAAACCTACCCACCGGTGGGGTAAATTGGAAACGAAACCAGACGGAGTCACTTTTCTATCATCATTCAATCAACAGGTGACTCCGTTAACGTTAACGCTTGTGGTGGGTCTCGTGACAAAAAAAAAATATTTTGCAGTCTGGTATTTTTGAAATAGCATTGGGAAAATACCCCGTCACGTGGTTGAAAATACTAATATGGTGATGAAAGAAGTGAAGGCAGCTGATGATGACGCCGATGATAAGACCAAAATTAATTTCAGTTTCACGCCCGTCCCTCCCTCATCAATTTTAGGAGCTACATGCAGTTTTTCAAAAACAATCATTTTTCTATGGAAATAAAGATAATCGCGATCTGGAAGATTGTTGTCAATAGCGTAAGCAGATGTGGTGAAAATATAAATCATTAGAATACATTACGAAGACTGGTTTTGCTTCTTTAAATGATTAATAATACATTATTTGATATTTACCGGCTTTTTTCCACAAGTATATAGGATACCGTAGTAAATAGTAAATCACAAAAAAATAACTTCAAATCCCGGACGTGAGGCTAATAGGCCTAATAATAATTAATTTTATTTGGCCTAAGGCCAAATAAAAGGGGGAAAAAAACATTGTGTTGGCTTCGCCCGACCGACCCAAAATGTTCAAAATTGAGGGTCGGCATTTTATTGTTATTAGGCCCCTATGCCTATTATTATTTTTTTTACAAACAAAAAAATGTTTTTTAATGACCTAAAAAGGCTGGAATAGGCTTATCTTGCAACGGTAGGAGATGCGACAGAGTTATGTGATAGTTTTGCTCTTCAATTTAGATTCAAATTAGAGAATGGTCTTTGTTGTATTTTTGTGTATTTTCTACTTTTAGGCATAAACACATTATCGGTAAAACAACAAAACAAAAACAAAAAAACTTTTCCTACCGACCTACTAGGCCGAGAGCTAGCAACATAAGATTTCACCCATATTGACTCCCTCGGAAAAAACCCCCAAAAGTCAATTTCACTCTATCTGGCACATTTTGTCAGAACAAAGCACTGTGAGCGTACATCATGAAAAACCTAAATCTTACATGATATCAGGCTGGGAAGGTGGTGTAAGACCCCCTACAAGGTACACCCACCTAGCCACTTTTCTATCTTAATGCATTGGCAAAACCTCCTAAACATGACAGTGTAGAGAAATGCACCCCATGTTGCCCATGGACCAACTCTTTTCCTAACAAAGCATTATCGGTGTACATCACATCTTACCCTATATCAGGTTAGGAAAGTCATGTAAGACCCCCTACAAATTACCACCCCCCCCCCCCCCCCCGCCCCCTCCCCACACCCCCCCCCCCCCCACCCCCCCCCCCCCCACCCCCCACACCCAAAAAAAAAACAACCACCAAAACAAAAATA